AGACAGAGAGACAGAGAGAGAGAGAGACAGAGAGAGACAGAGAGAGATAGAGAGAGACAGAGAGACAGAGAGAGAGAGAGACAGAGAGAGACAGAGAGAGATAGAGAGACAGAGAAAGAGAGAGAGACAGAGAAAGAGAGAGAGACAGAGCAAGAGAAAGAGAGAGAGACAGCAAGAGAGACAGAGCAAGAGAGAGACAGAGAGAGAGAGAGAGACAAAGAGAGACAGAGAGAGACACAGAGAGAGAGACAGAGAGACAGAGAAAGAGAGAGAGACAGAGCAAGAGAAAGAGAGAGAGAGAGAGCAAGAGATAGAGAGAACAAGAGAGAGAGCAAGAGAGACAGAGCAAGAGAGAGAGAGAGACAGAGAGAGAGAGAGAGAGAGAGATGGAGAAACACAAAGACTGATACACTAGATCAGGCTTTGGGTTTTGAAACCTTAAAACTCTCCCCCAGTGACACAGCTCCTCCAACAAGGCCACACCTTCATATCCTTCTAAAACATTTCCACCAACTAGGGACCAAGCATTCAAATATATGAGCCTAAAGAGGCCATTCTCCTTCAAACCATGACAGACATCTAAAATAAAATGTATCCTCAATCAGGAAATTATAATTTTGCTTTTGTTTTCTCACATATAAGCAACATTATTATCTGTTGTGGTAATTATTTAAAACTGTCCTCTGGTTCAGGCCGACTATCTAAGCCGCAGTGGCTCTGCCTACCCCAGCTGCCATGTTTCTCGGCCTGAGGTCATGTGCACTGCAGCTAGAACCGGCCCGCCAGAAACACCAGCCCTGCCACCCACTAGATGCCAGCGTGAGAGATGGCTCTGCCAATCTTCCACGCTGTCTCCACAACGCAGGGCATTGCCCAGACCATTTCGTCATCTATGCTGGCCCAGTAAGAAAATGAGACTCTAATTCTTATAGATTAATCAAAGGCTTTATATGTTTGATAATGATTAATAACAAGATGCCCATACAAAGAGAGTTGTATCCCAATTAGCTAACCTAATTATAAGCTTATAAGTTGTTCCCCATGAGTGCTCTCCATACCTGTGTGGTTCTCCATCCTCCTACATCTCTGCCCTCTCTAGCTCCTCCTCTTCCTTTTTTCTCTTCCTCTCCCAACTCCTCCTCTTCCTCTCTTTACTCCTCCCACCTTAGCTCCTCCTACAATTATCTATTCAGCTTTCTCCTTGGCAAGCCTTCGTCTGCGTCAGGCTCTTCTCCTGTGCTCTCTCCTCACACAGGGTAAATAGAAAACAACTAGACCACAACAGTTTTCAGAGGACATGAAGGTAACACATGAGTCATTACCCACCAGCAAAAGCAAAACAAATAAATACAACAAAAACAATCCACAACCCCAGTGTAGCCTCCCAATGCAGCATCCCAGAGCTCAAGAACAGGCTCTATGTGCTATCATTACTCCCTGGCTTAATCAGCTCCCCACTGGATGTAGACTCATTCCCTGTTCCTCCCATGGCCCCATCTGGGCATTCCTACTCTCTTAGTGTGTCTTGGTCTCATGATCTCCCTCATCCCCACTGTCTGAGCCTCCCGTAGGCTAATACCATCCAGAATGCTAGTTGGGGAATGCTGTGTGTCAACACGAGACTATCATCCCTGGACCTGGTTTATATATCAGTGGCTCCGGGGCTCCCTAAATTCTCAGGAGGGTCACCATGGCAACATCCTTAGGAGAGACTTCAAGAATGCCTACTATTAACTTAGACCTCAGTTGTCAAGTCTCATCAGGACTACTTACGTGGCAGGTCTGATCAGCAGTTTTCACTTGGGCTTCCTCAGAGTGAACCTACAGGATCCTTTCCTCAAAGATCAAAGCATGTAAACTCTACAGAGTCAATCGTGGCTCAGCTAATCCTTAGCTGTGATCCAGAGCAGATTCCTTAGTCCCTTTTGCCTCTGTTCTCTGACCTCTCCAGTGTGCCAATAATAATGGTAGCTACCTCCTAGGATCAGTGTCAGGAGCGGTGTCAAAAAGGACTAAGCAGTACACATTCTCTCCATGCGCACCATTATTTCTGAGGAAAACTCATAAAGCAAAGTGAAATACAAATAATAATGTTATATGTGAAATCCAGGAGCAGGCAAAGGAATTATTTGGAAAAGCCCCAACAAAAGGCAGAGAAAGAAGTGCAGAGCTGGGTAAGATGTCTGGTCTAAGGTTACTGGGAGTGGTGGTCTACAGTGTTCCAGCCTCCAAGACCTGTGGGACAAGTTGGTCAGACTTTTAGAAGAGGCAGACACAGGTGCCCTAGGCAAGTGGCTGCTCAAGGGTCGGGCAAGGAGAAGGAGCAGAGGTGCGGGGCCTGCTTTTGTTTTTTCCTCTGTCATTAATGCTCCCTCCAATACAAAGAGGGGAAGCTGCACAGGGCTGTTTGCCCTTTGAATCACCTTGGCAACCTGAATTCCTTTCTCTTCCAGGAAACCATAAACAAAACAAATTTGCCCTGCAGGCACTTTTGCCTGTTTTCCTTTTCTAGGAGCTGGTACTTTCCAAGAAAAAAAGTCTCTTGACGTTTCAACTGTGTCCCAGATCCTTCAAAATCCTTCACGTCATGTGAAAGGCTCTAGAAAAATTGATAAACGCCCCTGTGTGATCAAAGAGGCAGGCACACACCAACTTATAGCCAAGTCCTGTGGAATGAAGGTGGATGGAGAGAGGGAAAGGAAGTAGGAAGAGGGCATATGAGAGGAAGAGGCCCGTGCACTTTGTAGGCAGGGTCTACTTCCCAGCTGTGTGACCAAGGTCCAGGAGGGTACTAGAGATACGATGTTCTATGGTCACCACCTTGAAATTTGCAAGTCACGTTAGGCAATGAAGCCTGCACACACACAATTCTAACCCCCAAACGCATGTGTCAGGAGCCCACTCCTTCATAGCCTGTGCCAGTGCCCTCTGCTCTGGCAGAGGCCTTTTTCAGGACAGATCCTGGGCACCTGAGAGGATCTGGAGATGTGGTAGGAGTCTCCTATGTAAGGTGTATCCTCTGACAGGCGACCTGAATTCTTGCTTAGGCTTCGAGGCTAAGCACTGCAAGGGAATATCAATAAAAGTTAAAAATATCTCTCTGGGTTCCCTGAGGGACAAACCTGACTGCATAGGGGTTGATGTCGAAAGTATCCCCTCTCTAGGAAAAAGACATAGGGACGGGTATGGCCCTCATGCCTCACTGGACAACAACAGGGGGACTGAAGCCATTACAAGGTCCCCTTCAATTACTGGAGGTCAGGCCTCTATCCCCACCTTTGCAAGATTAGAATTGCCACAGCCCTTCTATACTTAGAGAAGTGAGGAGATGTCAGGGGCAGCCCTGCTTACACACTGAAGGCCTAAAATCAGCCATAGGCCTAAAATCAGCAATAGGCCTGTCATACCTGTATACTAACACCAAGTCTTGGGTCTCTGTGGATAAACACTAAAACAGATGGCTATAAGCTATTGTAAACAGGCAGTTTTTGTGACAATTTATCAGCCTGAGTAGTCATAGACCTTGTAAATAGGTAGCCTTGGCAGATATTACCAACTTAGATAAGGACAAGTGAATCATAGGCAGAGTCATAGTGACCTATTCCCTGAACCCTCACCCAGCCCATACCCTGTTCTGAAAGATATCTGTATTCCCCCTGAACACCCACGCTCCAGTGTCATTCCCTTTCCCACGGCCTGCCTTTTTGTGTTTATAACCCCTGTGTGAATGAGTATAAACTACAATTTGAAAAATAAATAAATAAATTATATATAAAAAAATAAAAATAAATAAAACTCACCATAGCAGGCTGAGGAACAAGACTTTTTTCTGCCTCTCTGTATCATTGCTTATTGTTGTGTTACTATTGAATTTAAGTGTACAAATGTCCTCACACCCCTGTGTCCCCTGAAACGAGGAAGTCAAGTGAACAGATCTAACAAGGAATTTGTTGTCTAGGTGACCCACCTGTCAGGCTAGCTCTGACGCCAGCTGATGTTTCCTGGCAAGTCCATCGTCAGTTCACTAGGCGTGGAAGACATTAGGCCCAGCTGCAGACAAAACTCCTGGCAGAGAATTGAGATAAATGGAAATTTGTTGAAGAGATTAAACACAAATCGTAGGAGGCCCCATTGCTTGTGATTAGATTTCTGTACTGGCCTCAGGAGAGCAGATGAAAAATCAAAATGGAATCACATTTACGCTTCATCTCACTAAAGCCAAGCTGTTACCTGAACTTCTGAGAAGCCACGAGAGGGGTGGGGGGAGGGGGGAGGATCATAGTCAAATTCTCCACAGACCACATGATCATGAAGCTCATTCCTTTTATACTTTTCATCCTCTGAAGCCTGTATCCATGATCACAAAACATTATGAGATAATTTTTTGACAACTTTTGGAGGGATAATTTATGTAGTTCTAAAGTGTGAACTTTAGTCTCAATCAGTATGCTGGATAGTCAAAGCGTTGGTCACGCCTACAAGTACTTGACAAGCTGGTATTTATTAAGCAGATGGGTCTCTTAGTCCTCATCCTCTGATGAGAGAAATTTTGAATTGACCAATCTGTTTTTGATTCTTTCCTTCTGTTTTTTTTTTCCTTTCAGCCATCCTCTCTCTTTTAAAAGTTCTCTCTCTCTGTCACCTTCTCCCACCCCCCCCCCCCCCCCCCCTTCTCCTCCTCCTCTTTCTTTCTCACCGTATAGACGGGAACATGTACAGGGTTGTTCATGGTGGGTTTTCTCTGGCTTCTTTTGCAGAGTGGAAATAGAATTCTGTGTTCCATCATTCTGAGCCATCGACAGGGCCCGTCCATTATCAACTACGATGATGAGAGTGGAAAGACGTGTGTCCATATCGCTGCAGCTTCGGGTTTTGGTGACATTATCAAAGATCTGGCCAAGGTCCCTGAATGTAACCTGCAGGCTCTGGATGTGGATGACAGGTATCCATGGCAACTCAGGAAGTGCTGGGAACTACCAGTCATCTTCTCCTAATGTTAATCATAAAATAAAGATGTCGAAGGCGCTATCCTTTCCGACTATATCCTCATTGCTGGTAATACATGTGTCTGTGATAACAAGCCTTGCACTATTTTAGTAAGAGGAGGAAAAATCATTGTTATGGAGAGAGATGACTACAGCGCTGTCAGATTTTCCACTTTCCACTGAATATAGGCAGTGTTCTCAGAAGACTTTCTGTTGAGCTATGGGCCTTGGTTCTTAATGGAGTTCGTATTTTCTTCTCTCCTGAGTTATATTGTAATGGCCATGATTTCTTTTCCAAAGTCTAAGGAGGTGTTTTAATTCAAACCTGGACCTTACTAATGAGGATTTTCTTTTCAGTCATTGATGACAGCTGGAAAAGGAATCTGGGTCTGGAAAGGTAAAATGGTTTGTCATAGGGCATGTTTGTAACTCAGTGAAGGATTGCACTAGCATCTTGTAAATATAGTTCTTATCACTTACAATGACTTGCTTACTAACTTTTGTCTAGTTTAGGCACTGGGCCCACAGAAATGTAAGAAAAAAAAAGCAACAACAATAAGCAAAACTATTGAAAATACGTGTAAGAATTACAAACTATCTGAGGATGTATTTAGCATTTTCTATTAAAGTGAGAAGTAAGTATATCATAATCTTTGAGGTCCCACAAGAACACCTCCCCTTGATATCTTGAAGTGTGTGTGTGTGTGTGTGTGTGTGTGTGTGTGTGTGTGTGTGTGTTGGGGAGGAGTGACTCATGTTCCATGTAGGTCTCAGAAGCTGGAATTGGTTAACCTGATGCTTTTAATTAAGGCTGAAGGCTACTTTTTCCTAAGAGCAGGTGTTGATCCTGAGACTGTAAGAAAGAGGAATGTCAGTAAGATGAGGCGAGATGTAGGAGACCCATAAAGAGAAAAGGATGCTTTCAACAATCAGGAGATGAAAGGGAGTTTGTCTACTTCAAAAGTTGCTAGAACTAGCACAGAACAGACTTCTCTCTCCGTGTTGCAGAACCACAACCATTATCCTGGGCCTCAGGGAAGAAAGCAAGCCTAGAGAAGAAAATCAATACAGTCGATTAGGTGGGTGAGAAGGGACACTCGGGCTCCAGGAGGCTCCAAGCCACTGGCTAAGCCATTCCTGTATTCTCCATCTTGTAGTCTCACGTTGAACATGAGACTGTCTTCTCCATGAAACCACGAGTTTCTGTTAATAGCTGAACTGTTCAAAAATCATCACAAGTTTAAGGCATCTCTTGATCTCATTCCTTCTTTTCTAGCGAAAGATTTTCCAAAAAATAAATAAATAAATAAAAATAAAAGACTTTAGGGGAAGAAGAGAAAAATTTACAATAGGGAGGAGGAAGAAGAAGAGTGAAAGAAAATGTGGAGTTCTCATCTGCCTATATATATTAAGGCACATCAGAAAGTAGGCAATGGTGGTACACCTTGAAACCATAGCCCTTGGGGGGCTGAAGTAGGAGGTTCCCAAGCTGGGGGGCAGCATGGGCTGTAGCATGAGACTGTGTCTCAAAAACACCCCATTTAAAGAAACTGGCCAACAGGATGGCTCAGAAGATAAAGGTGCTTGTCACCAGGTCAGATAAAGTTAACTCTATCCTATATAATGGAAGAAAGGAACAGAGTCACACAAAGTTATTCTCTGATCTCCATCCAAGTGTCCTGGTACACACGAACATACCCACACACAATAAATAGATGTAGGGGAAAAGCTAAGTCACATAATCTATGGTGTTTTTAGTATGATAGTACTCGCTGAAGATTAATGCCATCTCACAAATACCCGCAGAAGCAGCCCACATGTTTTAAATGTCCCAAATGTCATCAGTCTATGAAGTCATAACTCACTTCAATAAACAACTCGTTTCTCTTCAGGGAGGACAGCCTTTTATCAGAGACTCCTCCCTGTATATTTCTGGGAATTCTCCACGGATGTTTACAGGCCTCACAAATCAACCCTTAGCTACTGAGAGCTGGAGCAGCCCTACACCCTATCCATCATCCCTCCCTACCCAGAGCCCACCGCATCGCCCAATGATGGTCTCTGCTCAGTTGCCTTAACGCACAGGTCCTGACTTTTTCACCCTTCCTAGCAATGGCTGGGGCCAGCCTGCTGTGCCTGAGAGTGATCCTGCAGCCTCAAGATAGGAAAGAAACTGTAGCTCAGACAGTTCAGAACCGGTGTCACAGATTTGCCACAGAGGCTCTCAGTATGTGAACCAAAGGTTGTCAATCTGTTCCTCTTGTTTCTCCACACCCCTTTCAGGATGGCCAGAGGAATTAAAGCAGTTGGTCTTAGCAAATGTAAGGCAGGATTCATTTCACAAACCTTCAAGATGAATTGTTGTATGTTGGTAAGCCTGACTAGATCAGTGTTCAACCCTCTATCAACTGAATTTATTAACAATTGTTCCTCTAAATAGAGAGAATAATCTATGTGGTCTCATCATGTAAAATATTGTCTGAAGTAGAATGGAACAAATTCTACCTGCCATATTCCGATGTAGTGTACAGTGTATCACTGTATTGATGAGAAATTGCCCTCTAAGACAACAGTTCTCATCCTGTGGGTCACAACCCCTTTGAGGTTACATATCAGGTATCCTGTATATCAGATAGTTACATTACAATCCATAACAGTAGCAAAAACTGTTATGAAGTAGTGATAAAAATAGTTTTATGGTTGGTGGTCACCTAAACATGAAGAACCGTTTTAAAGGTTCGCAGCATTAGGTAGGTTGAAAATCACTACTCCAAGACGTCATAAAGGGCAGAGGGATATTTAACAGACAAAGAACACAATCAGAGTATGTGGGACAAGGGGCAACACTATGCACCAAGATACTCAGGTCCAAGGCCCTTCTCTGACCACTTCCAAATGTTCCACACCTGAGGGCTGCTTGGCTCTCTCCATCATGCCCAGAACCCTGGCCCTAGAACAAGGAGAGCCTGCCATGGTCATGCCCTTCCTTGCTGCCCCAGGACTGCCTCTTTTCCTGATTGAGAGACAGGAAGCTTGGTCATTCTCTGCAAGGGAGACCTCATTCATAGTAATGACATCTCTATGCCTTCCTAATCCCACCCCCCCCAAAAAAAAAATCCAAAGCCTGACAGTGTAACGTTATATAACCCAAAAGATGACCTATCCAATCTTGACTAAAGCTATAGTAGATTCAAGTGTCTAGCCCTTTTCCACAGTGTTTTCCAAAAGCCTAATGGCCAAGGCTACTCATCGCCTCTGATCTGATAGAAATTTCCAAGCAACTGAAGTCTACAACAAGTCCAAAAACACATGAGCACAGAACAACCTATAGCTACAGCTAAGGATAAGCATACAATTAATACACTCTGAAGAGATACAACACTCTTGCTGTACCCAACCCCATCCAGAGGTTAACTCTCTGTATATGTTAGCTTAGCCACAGAGCCCCAAAACTTCTGCTTTAAATGGAAGGTTCTGATGCACACTGGAAGGCTTAAAGACACCCTGGAACAGGGTAGCAAATGAACTGTCCCAATTCTCATATCTCGTAGAGCTTTGAAAAATCACAATACACTGTTTCCCAGAGTTGTTTTGTTCTTAAGATAATAAAGAGGGTAGTATCATCAAAGCATCCTTTCAAAAACTGCTTAGCAGAGACCCTACGGAGCTTAGGTGGTGCACTATGTGCTGTAGGTACAAACAACCCAGTAAGTGAAAAACGCTCTCATTTTCTCCTTCCATGCAGTGTAAAGTGCATCCAAGAAAAAGAGTGGAATAGTCACCATATAAATTATGAGTGCTTTGTTACAACCAAGATTCTTAGAAATAATAACAATTATATGGTGTATAATTTAACCCTTTTTTTCCAGTATGGAATTTAACCTGGGCCTTCAGTATGCTAGGCAAGCACATTGTCACTGAGCTATCAAACCAGCCCTGTGATTTCTCATGTTGATCATCTAAGTAGACAGTGGAAAACTTAACATCCATCTCTTTGGGTTGATTATAGAATTTTCACAATACCAAAATATATAAGACTAGAAGTAAGAGAAGACCCCCTTGATACATGTCTTTGTCCTTTCAGATCTGATGAGGCTTCCCTCTCTGGGCTGGTCATGGGAGCATGGTGATCGTGGGCTGCAAGGAGTTCCATTGGCTAGACTCATCACTCTGACAGGCCCCCTCCCTCCCACTAGCTCCACTGAAGAAGCTGAGCTCTGGGACCTATTGTTTAGCCCAGTAGGCCTTTATGCTCTAATCAACATCAGTGTTTAATGGTACTGGGGTTCAAATCCAGTGCCTGGCACATGGTACGCAATGCTCTACTACAGAACTATTCTCTCAGTGCTTTATCACCCTCATGTCATATCTGGAGGAGAACTCTCTGTCTAGGGTTGGGGAGTCCAACTCCCTTCTATGTGCAGTTAAATAACTTGCCTTTGCTTCAGATCTGCACGTAGTTTTGAGCCTGGCTTTTGGAAGCAGGAAAACATTTGTCATGTTTACCCTGCCACGCTTCTCCCCGAAGGTTAAAGACAAAGCCAACCATGCCTTTAAATAGAGGACAGAGGAAAAGTGGAAAATAAACAGTCACATTAACCAGGCAGTGGTGGTGCATGAGTTTAATCCGAAGTTGGGGAGGAAGACGCAGGCTAATCTTTGAGTTCAAGGCCAGCCTGGTCCACAGAGTGAGCTCCAGGATGGTCAGTGCTACAGACAGAGAAACTCTATCTTCAAAAAAAAGCCAGAGAGAGAGAAGAACATACAATCACACTAGTAAATGGTATTGAGAAAAATGGACCACATATTAGAAAAGCATATACCATACATACCCAGAAATAGGAATTTACTATATAACTTTGGCTGGCTTCAAACTTCCAATCATAGTGCCTTGTCTTCCTGGATGCTGAAATTATAAAGGTGAGCACCATGCCAAAACACATTTATTATTTTTAATCTAAATAAATCTAGAAAGAAATTACAGATTTTCTTTTTAATCTATATCCACCAAAAAAAAAAAAATCCCATTGTTTGGTTTTAACTTGCATAGATTATCTATAAACACAAACAAAAACCAGAGCCACCCCATTAACCTCAATGCTGCCTTGTTATGGCGGCATATGCTCCCATCCTAAGCCCTGGCAACCATAGGCTAGTTCTCTCTATAGTTTGTTCTTTTTGGAATGTCATATACATATGACTGTAGGTTGACTGCCCCTTAGCCACCATGCTGTGATGGGAAGTATTTCAGATTTCTGAATTGTTGAGATTTGGGAAGATTTTCATGAATATGATGACACATCTTAAAATGAAACCAAGTTGTAAACACAAAATGTGTTTAAACACATAGCCTGAAGGTAATTCTATACAGCATCCTAAGTGCACTTGAACTGCAGCTCTGACTGGTCACACAGGGTCAGATATAGAATTTTCCCCTTGTGACATCCAACATGTCAGTGCTCAGAGCACTTCAGATTTCAGGTCCTTAAAAGAGGGAAGGTCTGAGACTGGCTCACATCACTTAGCAGAATGCACTGGGGGCTCATCTCAACTGTCACACGCACACTGGCAGCCTGTTGGGTCTGTCCTTGGGTCATATTCCACAGTATAAAGGACCCACAATTTGTTTATCCACTGGCCCGTGGAGAAAGGGTGGCTTGCTTCCAGTTTGGGGAAGTTATGGTACAGTTGCTATAAACATTTGAGAGCCAAATTCTTATTTCTCTACTAGTGGGGATGTTTGGGTCACATATTCGAGATGTGTTAAGCCTGCAAAACTTCTGCTAAGATTGTAGGCAAGTTCCAGGTTTTCTACGTTTTTACCACTGTCAATGATTATCAAGCCTTGTTGGGGTTATGCCTTATTTTAAACATTTAAACACAGGCAGGTGAAATCTTTTTGCCATTTAAATTTGGATTTCCCTAATGATAATTTTGTTGTTGTTGAGGCAGGGTCTCTGTAGGGCAGGCAGATTGTCCTGGAACTCACTATGTAGCCCAGGCTGGTCTCAAACTCACAGAAATCCTCCTTCTTCCCCTCCTGGATGCTGAGACTCCAGGTGTGTGCCACCATGCTGCCTTGACAAAGTGTTTCTGAGCCTTTAGCTTTTCTTCTTGAGTGTCTTACCACCCACACATCTTTTTTGGTGAAATGTCTATTCTAATCTTCTGCTGTTCTTCAAGTGAGTTTGTTTTCTTGTTGTTCAGCTCTGAAAGCTGACACACATTCTAATTATAAGCCTTTTGTTCGACATGTGATTTGTAAATATTTCCTCCTGTTGTCTGAGTCCTCTTTAGTTTATTAAGAAAACACTCTTTTTACAATTTAAAAAAAAACATGATTAAGTGTTGGTGACTATCTGTCTTCTGGTTAAGAAAGTACTTTCTATATATGAAAGAGATAAAATGAAATGTAATCAAATGTGAATGGTTTCTATTTTATGGTAAAATCACTAAAAACAAGATTGAATAACAAAACTTTTGCAGTTTGTATAGGTGACCTATAAATTATCAGTATCTTTAATATGTAAATAGCCCACTTAAATTACTAAGAAAAACAGTAATACTCTAATAGAAAAATAGAAACTGTCTATAGTGGCACATGCCTATAATCCCAGAATTAGGGAGGCTGAGGCAGGAGGATTGTATATTCAAGGCTAGTCCATGCTATACAGTGGGAATCTACCTTAAAAAAAAAATCAAAAGTAAACAAAAGGCTTTAAGAGTGACTTTAATGGGGAAATCCAAGTAAAGATTTTAAGATGGTGGCATACTTCGACTCAGGTATAAGAGGGTAAATTGAGTCAGCATTCCTTGAAGGCAGTTGGTGCTGTGTATAAAGAACCTTAAAACCATTCATACTTCCTCTTCTAGGACATTCTCAGGAAAAGCAGAGAGACCGCATGGAGGTGGAGGGAAGCCTCTTGCACACACCCTCTCATCCCTATCCTGGGGCCATATGCTCTCTTTCAAACTACAGATAGCAAGGGGATTGTCCTCCTACCACCTGACTCTGGCTAGAAGCCAGCCATGGCTAAACAGCCTGGAAGGCTCTGACTCAGCCCCTTGTGTTTCTTCTCGGTCATTCCCCCAGGACGCCCCTGCACTGGGCCGCAGCTGCTGGAAAGGCTGAATGTGTCCAGTCACTGCTGAACTTGGGCATGGACAGCAACCTGAGAGACATTAACGAGAGCACGCCCCTGGCCTACGCCTTGTACTGTGGTCACACGGCCTGTGTCCGGCTCCTTTCCCGAGAAGGCCGGTGAGTGTATCTAGTGTCTTCCTCTCAAAGATTTACAACATTAAAGTTTTTATAAACCACTAACATGTAAACCCAGCAATAATAATAATGTGTGGTTGTGTGTGTGTGTGTGTGTGTGTGTGTGTGTGTGAGAGAGAGAGAGAGAGAGAGAGAGAGAGGAAGAT